CAACAATGATGACAGGAAAGGTGAGCAAAATTTTACAGACTGAATCCTGTCATATTCATTTAAACCACTACCTCCCACAAAGGCAGGGCAGAAATGTGACACTCAGTGATAACCTCACACTAAATGCTTTCCATGTGACCAGAAGTGAAGAAAGTCAGTTTGAGCGGGAGGGAATGTTATGGCAATTGATTAAAGATTCTGCGGCCAAATAAATGTTTAGAAAATAGTGAAGGGCACATATTGTTTATATCAAGCACTGCAATATGGAGTTAACTATTAACTGTTGTTCAGGAGCAGGACCCTGTGTCACTCTGCCATCTCATCCAATCACAGATACATCCAATCACAGGTCAACCCTCTTGTTCACGTCATGCCATCATTATAAATGTAACATCCATACAATGTCAACCTTTAACATCATTAGACGTTGATATTTGGTTGATTTTAGGTTGGATGTTGGACATTGACATAAACCGACTTAATTCTGGCATAAACCCGTTGTTCAGTTCCAAACAAAATGCAACATCCCCACAACGGTGCAACAATGGGATACAACGTCAATCTGACATCATGTTGATGTCCTGTGCCTGCTGGGTTCTCTTTCGTCCTAGGTTGAATTGAGGGGCAGATATGATACTCGGCAGATATGATACTCGGCATATATGATACTCTGTCCTGAGTCTCTTTGAGCAATCATCATAGGATGCCCAAATAAACATACGGTCCCATCCCTTACTCCCTTTTGCCCATTCCCCTTCATTCCGCCATCACCTTCCCCTTATAAACCTCTTTCTCTACCCTTTCATCCTTACATGCATTCAATAAAGTTGGCCCTAACTTCATGGCGTGGTGTGGGCCTTGCTAGTGAAATACATATACAAATGCAAAGAGTAAATTTTGATTTCATTCTAATTTTGAAATTGTGTCTATTCAAAAATATCTTCTAAGCTACCAAAAATTATTACTAAAATTTGACAATTCAGGCGACACATTGGGTAGCACAATCGCCTCATAGCAAGAAGGTCGCTGGTTCATGCCTCAGCTGGGTCAGCTGGCATTTCTGTGTGGAGTTTGCACATTCTCCCAGTGTTTGAGTGGGTTTCCTACGGTAGCTCCAGTTTTCCCCACAAGTCCAAAGACATGTGCTGTAGGTCAGTGGTTCTCAAAACGGGGGTCCGGACCCCCAGGGGGTTGTAGGACAATGATTGCTTGGGGATTTCCAAAAATTAAATTCAATTTTATTAAACTTTATTAAAATTACCATATTTTATCCATAACCCACAGAAGAAAAAAGTAGTAGTTAATAGTTATAGTAGTTAATTAAAATAGTAGTTAATTTTATGCTACGCCTGGGGCGATTAGGTTACATTAAAGACACATCATATTGATTTTATGGCACCAGATTGAACTTTTGAACACCTTTACGGCACTCATGTACTGGATATAAAAAACAAATACAGGCCACAACTAAACATGGAGGATGGTCTCCGAGTGGCAATCTTCAAAATTTCGTGTTAAATAAACTTGGGCCTATTGGAATGTGTGTGTGTGTATGTAAGGTTTATATATTAATAACTACCTCTGAGAATATTGGGGGTCGCGAGTCACTGGCTATGTATTTTTGGGGGTCGCTCGTTAAAAAGTTTGGGAACCCCTGTTGCGAATTGAATAAACTAACTTAGACATAGTGTATAAGTGTGATTGAGTTTGTATGGGTGTTTCCCAGTGATGGGTTGCATCTGGAAGGATAGCCGCTGTGTTAAACATATCCTGGATGAGTTGGTGGTTTTGCTGTGGTGACATCAGATTAATAAAGGGACTAAGCCAAAAAAATGAATGAATTAATGATTTAATTCAACACATTAAATTAGTAAGATCTGAGATTGTAGGCCTATACAGTATAAAAGCGTTGAAACTCTCCTATGATCAGGAAAAAAAAATCTGGATATTTTTTTTCCCTCTGTCCCTATAAATTCTCCCTCATCAGGTCACACGTACATTTAGACCTTAAGCTGTAACTTTCCAAAACACTCTCATGATACAGGTCTGGCCTGCCTTTAATCTCTGGATTTATTTACCTCCCTTGGAAACACCAGACACACCTCACTCTTCTCTCTTTTAGCACAGGGATTTTCTCTGCGCTATTCCAGGGATTTCAAGAGCACTTTTATTGGATTACCTGTCAGAGCGAATTACACCGCGCCCAACTTGACAGCAAATTGTGGGACGTGGTGTAGAAGGATTGCCGGGACTGGTGAAGAGATTTAGCGTAGTTGTTGTTGTGCTGGCTGAGTGTGGTTTTGTGTCAGTGGAGTGAATCTGATCAAATTGCAAATAACACCATGATACACATCAAAATCACCTCTGGAGATTGATATCATGGAACGCTTGTTTCCGTCCACCAATACTGTCAAAAAAGAAAGAAAGAGTTGACTCAGCTTTCAACCCAATTACTTAACTCAACTTGATTTAAGTTTGTGCCTTAAAATTTATAAGTTGAGTCAATGTTTTTTTACAGTGTATCCTTATGTGACTATCGCATAAAAACGCTTAATGGAAATGGCAAGGTGTGTTTACATTTTGAAAATGCGCATAGAAAACCTATATGTGAAGTTTATTCATAAACTAATTTCGAGAGGAGCACGTGATTATGATTGAACACAGCTGGTTCTGCATTAGCATGCATGATCCACCAATCAGGTCATTCCTAACTCACTATAAAGAGCCAGGGTTTTTTCACTACAGTCATCTTCGATTTAAAGAATCCCCCCTTCCACCCCTACCTCTTCACCTTTCCTTCCATAGGGCAGCACGGTGGCCCAGTGATTAGCACTGTCGCCTCACAGCAAGAACGTCACCGGTTCTAGTCCTTTAACAGGCCAGTGGTCGTTTCTGTGTGTAGTTTGCATGTTCTTCCCGTGCTTGCGTGGGTTTTCCCCGGGTCCTCCGGTTTCCTCCCACATTCCAAAAACATGCACAACAAGTGAATTGATAAATCTAAATTTTGCACTACAGTTAATCTCTCACCATGCAGCATATCTTTTCATAGCATTCAATTTTTAGTCATCAGTTTTTATCAAGGGGGAGTTGTCGAGATCTACCTGAGCTCAAGGCTCCCCTCTTGCCCTCCAAACGGGAGGGAGCCCAGGGCTCAAGAACCTTTCAGCTCAGGGCTCTCTCCCGAGACAGCATGCCAAACTTGCTTATAATCAATCATTAGCTAAGTGTGAACTCTTGAAGTTTTTTTATCCAAAAGGAAAAATGCACATAAACTATGAAGGAAACACATTTACCAAATAAATTCCAGCTTGTGCATCAAAAGTCATGTCATGTCATGTAATTTTCATCCACTTATCCAGGGCCGGGTCGCGGGGGCAGCAGTCTGAGAGAACTGCAGACTTCCCTCTCCCCAGACACTTCCTTCAGCTCTTCTGGTTGATCCCAAGGGGTTCCCAGACATAGTCCCTCCAGCATGTCCTGGTTCTTCCATGAGCCCTCCTTCCTGTGGGACATGCCTGGAACACCTCCCTAGTTAGGTGTCCTGGAGGCATCTGAAGCAGATGCCCGAACCACCTCAGCTGACTTCTCTCGATGTGGAGGAGCAGTGGCTCCACTTGGAGCTCCTCCCGGGTGACAGAGCTCCTCACCCATTCACAGATGATGCTGTTCTGTTGGCTCCATCAAACATGAACCTTCAGCATCCACTGCAGGGGTTTGCAGCAGAGTGTGATGCGGCTGGGATGAGAATCTGTACCTCCAAGTCCGAGGCCATGGTGCTCCACTGGAAAAAGGTAGTTTGCCATCTCCAGGTTCGAGGAAAGTCCTTCACCAATTGGAGGAGTTTAAGTATCTTGGGGTTTTGTTCATGAGTGAGGGAAGGATGGAACGTGAGATTGACAGGCGGATTGGTGCAGCAGCAGCATTAATGTGGTTGATGTACAGGACCGTTATGGTAAAAAAAGGAGCTGAGCCAAAAGGCAAAGCTCTCGGTTTACCGGTCAATCTACGTTCCTACTCTCACCTATGGTCATGAGCTTTGGGTCATGAGCATAAAAGTCATGTTGTTTTATTTAAGAGACCATGTGATAACAAAAATGGCTGTTGTGGGACAGCATCAATTAACAAATTAGCAGATCGACCACATTCTAAAACATCTTTAGTTTTGGTAATTTTAAAATCCCTTCATTTAAGTCTGTCTTCAAAGTGCTTTGGTATTGTCTTCCAGAACTTTCTTGAGTTGCTTCACTTCCAAATATCTTCTCACACCTCACACCTGTCTTCATCTAAGGTGCAAGTAATGTACTATAAAAGAAGAAAGGCCCACTGTGACTTCTCTAAGCACAGTAAATTCCATTTTCCTTTTTGTTACTTGGTGTCAGTTTATAATTAAATTTTGATTTTGTTCTTTTTGACTAATTGGATGGAAGTGATGCTTTATTCACAAATGTTTTATATGATAGTCTAGTTTCATTTGCCTCTTTGGATGTAAACATAGCTACAGATGAAGAAATTTACCATTTGAATACCGACAAGACTCAAAGTCACAACTGACAGCAGATATTTCTTGAGCTTGGAATTGATTATGATATACGACAGTGGTGATTTAGCACAATAACCATTTCTCACTCCTGAGAACGAGGCACGTACACAGGATAGCAATTGAAATGTCAAAAAGGGCAGGGGAGACCAAAGGGGAAATTGCTTTCAAAGGGAAAAGCAAACTTTCTGGTTAGAAAACAATACCCCTTTTAAAAAGCCAGTGGGTTCTTGAGCAAAGGCAGTGAGGGTGGGAGCAGAGGAAGGGAGGGAGTCTTAGATAAATACAAGTTAATGGGTCATAATGATGTCTAATGACAGACATCGCTTTCCTTTGGGACACAAAGGGCAATGGAAACAAACAAATGATAAGGAAAATAAAAACAACAGTCCGCCGACTCTGTGGTGGGTACAGGCTGGTCTGCAAGAAGTTAAACGCTATATAAATTGTTGTAGAGCATTGCACTGGCATTCAGCATGTCTGAGCCTGAGAGAACATTCTGAAAAAACATTTGAAAACATACTGGATTACCAACGTTTCAGAATAATCAGTCAAATTAATGATTCTCTTCATGTTTCGGGATGCTATATTATTCGTGCGAAAGTTTACATACAAGGAAAAAAGGTGAGAAATTTATACTAAATAAATATTTGTTAATTATTATTATTTATTTTAAAAAATTTTAATAATTAGATTAGATCATTTTATTGAATTAACAGTAACCTGTTTCAGCTCCAGAATAAAATAAAATGATAATAACTCCAACACTTTAGCTCCAAGTTAAAATTGTCTAACAATTATTTTTATTTTTGTCACAGTTGTGATTTTATGAAGAAGACATTGTCAGATTTATTTTTTTAATTCCATGGCATAAACAAGCTTTTCTGTATGAAAACGTATTTGGATAAACAATAATGATTAATATAATTCTGAGAGTCTCACTATTAGTATATTTTTTAAAAATCGTCACCTTGGAATTATAAGGTTCTATCTGCGTTCTGAAGGATTTTGAGATATTGAGATTCAAAGGTTTTGCATTCCATTGCAAGCGGTATGTTTGTAACATTTGCTTTTCAAATTAAAAGTATTTAAATGTAAACAACTTATAAAAACATCCCATAATGTAAATAAGTGGTTATTTAATAACAATATGGCAATAACTCAATTTAGACAAAAATGCCAGATAGAACCTTATAATGCCAAGATATATAAATAAAAATAAATGGGGGAAAAAGCCAGCATTTTAGCCAGCAATTTATATTCCCTATAACTAATCTTGAGATTACATTTAACCATTTTGACACTTTTCTGAGAATTGGTGTTTCTCACAAGACTCCAAAAATGAAGTTTTTTCCTTTCTGAGGAAAAAAAGACAAAATTATGAGATGAATTGCAAAAAACTCTCACTTAAAGCTATATAAATCTATATAATTGTTATTATTTACATTTATATAGTCTGCACTTTCCGAAATAGATATTAGTAATAGTGTTCTTTTATATTGTCATTTTTGTTATCACGACAGTGGTGGTTTCTGTGCTTAATATGCTGATCTTTCCAGCTCACAATGAATTTTTCAGAATTCCAACTCAACCAATAAAAATGTCAAATGTTTAAGCTAAGTCTGAGGCTACATCCTGCCATTTTATCTTACTGCAAGCTTTATGTTTAATTAAAGAGCTAGTAAGTATTATTGCCCAGATTAATCTTTTGTCTCTACCTTTTTGTTAAATAGTAAGGCCAGACAAAATCTGCAGACATTTTTGGTATTTCTGTATTTTTGTAATTTTGTAAAGACATCTGCAAATCTATGTAGAATGATTTTGTTAATATTATAACTAAAATGAAATAAAATATATAACATTTAACTTTTATTTAATATTTACAATGCAAATCATGTTAGACCCACTTGTTTGGTAAACAAAGCAGGTCTTTCATTTATTATTTCTACTAAAAGATAGAAAATATCTTTCCAGCTCACAATGAATTTCTCAGAATTCCAACTTTTCCATTAAAAAAAGCTCAAATTTCTGAGCTATTTCTGAGGCTACATTCAGCCATTTTGTCTATCTGCAAGCTTTACATTATAATAAAGAGCTAGAAAATATTACAGCCCAGATTAATCTTTTGTTTCTGGATTTTTGTTAAGTAATAAGGCCAGACAGAATTTGCAGGCATTTTTGCTATTTCTGTGAAAAATTTTGTAAAAACATCTGCTAATTTATGTGGAATGATTTTGGTAAAATAATAACTAAAACTTAAAAAAACATGAAATAAAATTAATAACCTGTTAACTTTAATTTAAGGTTTGCATTGAAAATCCAATTAAATCAACTTGTTTGGTAAACAAAGCAAGTCTCTCATTTATTATATCTACTAAAAGACAGAACATATTTTTCAGCTCAGAATTAAGATTAAATTCAACCATTTTGACACTTTTCTGACATTTTCTGAATTCCAACTTTTATTTTTCCATTGAAAAGGTCAAATGTTTGAAAAGTCTGAGGCTACATCCTGCCATTTTATCTTACTGCAAGCTTTACGTTTAATTAAAGAGCGAGTACATATTACTGCCCTGATTAATTTTTTGTGTCTACGTTTTTGTTAAGTAATAAGGCCAGACAGAATCTGTAGACACTTTTTGCTATTTCTGTATTTTTGTAATTTTGTAAAAACATCTGCTGATTTATGTGAAAATGATTTTGGTAATATAAATAAAAAATAAATAAGTAATAAAATTAATAACTTTTTTAACTTTTAAAGGTTTACAATGCAAATCCAATGACATGCACTTGTTTGGTAAACAAAGCAAGTCTCTCGTTTATTATATTTACTAAAAGACAGAAAAAATTACTTTACAAACTGTATAGTAAAAAAATCAACATTTGCATATTAGTCAATAATATTACTGACATTAATAAAAACTCAGCAAATAAATACATTCACACAATTAGCAAATAAATTAGTAAATTAATAGACACAATGGGCTAAAAAATCTGAGGAAATCTGCAGATTCTGTGTGGGCCTAAAGTATGTAAAGTAATAAGCCGAATAAGCACTGTACATCCAGCCTCTTGTTTTTGTGGAATAAAGTCCTTCATTATATGATAGCCAGGCTTAAAAGGGTTAATTTTGCAAAAACAACTGGCTGGATGTACATCATACCTTACTTATATCAAAACTTAATTTTTAATATAAGATTTTTAAAAAAATAATATGCTGATAATATTTGACTTGTGGTCTTGTATTCACAGAAAGTGTTGAAATGCCTTACACATCCCATATGAGTAAACATAAGAAGATCAATTACAGAAGATTCACGACTTGACCAGAAAACTGCTTATTACAGTCTTTTGGTTTTGATTTTGTTTTTGAAAATTGATTTTGTTAAATGTGAAGGACTGAACATACATCAACAGGAGAGCAAGAAAACTTAAAAAAGATTAAAAAAAAATTGTGGAGCCCATCAACAATGGAGGAACCCATGGATTCTGGAGCCCCCCAAACCGTAAAATATGACCCAAAATCAGAAACTGTAACGTTACCCAATGGGCTAGTGTCTGTGGCCGGTGTTACAGTGGTGACAGGGGGAGCAGAGCTGTCCTGCGGATCCTGTATGTTGGCTTTTGGGGTTTGGGGAACTCTGGTCGGACTGAGTGTTGTGTCAGTGGGTTTGTGGGACAATTCAACACACGTGAACAGTGGTCTGTCACACCTTCTGGCACTTGGGTTGGTGCTGCTTCTCACCAGCTTCAGTCTGGTAGTTGTGATCTTTTTCCTTCGTTTCTTAATGAAACAGAGAAGAATGGCAGCCAGAAGAGAAAGGGCAGAAGCCAACCTAGTGCTGGTGAATGACTATGCAGAAGTTATTTTAAAAAGAGTCACTGTGTGAAGGAGCAGATTAATGAAAACCTATGTTGTGATATTTCTAAATGTTGAATAAATCAGACTCTGTGCTATAGGAACCGTTTTGCTATATCCTGAGTGCTTTCAGAATGCACAGGGGACACATTTGATTCCTCAGCCATGTGTTTTATTAAAATCAATGGTTTTATGAAATTTTCCTGTAGAGTCTACAGTAACATACTGTAAATCAATTACAGTGGTACCTCGCCCTAACACGGTTCACCTTTCGCAGTCTCGCACATTTTAGTGCAATTTGACATGTTTTTTTTTTTTTACAGTGCATTGTTCTGTGACCTGATTCACGCATTTTGTTCTGCATCCTGCTTGGCTGTAGTCCATTGTCAATCAATCTCTTCCCTGCCATGTCACCTGTATAGTGCAGAATGTGTTCAGCTTGCCAAATTGATGTAAATCTTTAATTGCTAGCAGTGTGACTCTGAAGTGCTGTACTGTGTGTTTGCAAGTTTTCTCCCCAACAAACCCCATAATGTCCACGAAACATTCTGCGCCATCAAAGGCACCCACAGTAGCACCCAAAAGGCAGAGTAAGATGCTAACCATCGCACAAAAAGTTGGACTTCTGGACATGCTAAAGGAAGGTAGAAGTTACGCAAGTGTTTAAACAAGAGAGAAAAGTATGTAAATGCAAATGCCTGTCTAAGAAACGTGTATAAAGAGTGTATGAGATGTTTTACAGCGTTAAAACATCTATAATAATTGTAAAAACTAAAGGGGACAACTTCGTGGATTTCCCCTATTGCGGGCTATTACGCAACTCCCGCGATTAACAAAAGACCACTGTACAGCAAAAAAACTGTATTTACATCTACAGCACCATTTATCTTGCTATATATGTATTTTCAGTATTGTATAGCTTCACTGTTAAATATACAGTAATGCAACTTTAAAATACAGTAACATACCGCATAACTGTCCTGAATAAAATAGTTCATATTACAGTTAAATAGTTAAATTTACCAAAAATCGTTAACAGTGTATTTTGATATGTATATTGTGCAATGTATAAGTGTAATGTTTAATGACTTTTAATTTTTCAAAATGATGTAATGTCTGAATAATTTTACCTATTTATCCATGTTTATACTATTATGTAGTTTTGTCTAATCAGAAGAAAAAAAAATTCAACTGTTTTTTATGAAGAAAGAATGTTTTTGGAGTAGTTCTGTTATGACAGTCATAATATTTTCTAAGATCTCAGATGAAAAAGCAACGTTTCAAAAGTAAACATCGTCTATAGTGCACATCATAAAAGTAATTTTGAACAAAAAATTATTTTGAACAAACTTTGGTACATAAAAAGCTTTGGTACATTCCTGTCATCGATTATAGTTTTTATGCAATTATTATAGACAGCTGTTTTTCTGCTTTACAATTACGTTTTTTTTCTTCTCTTTTTTACTACACATTTGAATTTATTATTATCACATGCCATACATTGAAAAGTGTCAGTTTGTATGTTGATTTTTAGTATTTTGAGTTTGTATGTTGCTAAACAATATATATATATATATATATATATATATATATATATATATATATATATATATATATATATATTGTATATATATTAACAAGGAAACTTTTACAGTATGTCTAATGATATATATATATATATATATATATATATATATATATATATATATATATATATATATATATATAAATCTGCTATTTGCCAATGTTAAGGAGGATTCCAGAAGCATACAAAGCAAATAAGTAAATCTGTAATATTTGCATTACATTTTCTTAATTGCCAGATATCTAGAAGAATAAAAATATTCTAGTAAAGAGTAAAAAAAGAACGTATGAAAGAAAGGTATATAAAAACTCATGAATTTACAAATATCTGCATGTATTCTTAATGTGTGCATTTAATGCGTCAAGTACTTGCACTGGGTTTTGTGAAAGACTTGAATGCTGAAATAATGTTAATAAACGTACTACATTATGTAATTAGCTTTTTTAATAGTATTTATTGTTTTATTATGCTTTAAACAGCAATGAAAAACCTGTAAGCTATTACATTTAAGCTTTTCCCTCGATCTTGGTTTTAAAAGGAACTGTTCTCTGTAAAGACAGTAATGTCTCCACCTGCTGATCACCTTTGTTATTGTTGGAAGCAATTTACTTTACTGAACGTTATACTGCTACCACCAAACATTTTAATTTATTCTAATAAACATTTAAATAAAAACTTTAGGTTATTCAGTTATTATTGATCTTCAATACTGGCCTGCATATGCATTTTTTATTATACCAACTATTTTGTACATTTAAGTAGAATACCTAACTTACAATGTGTAGAAAATGAAAACATTTGATGGAGTAGATGTTTTTTTTTTTTTTATTAGGATGATTTTTTAAATTAATATTACATCTTCAATAATGATGGAAATGTTTGATTATCACTTATTGCAAAAGGCAAAAATGAGAAGCATGGAAAATCTAAAAGTGGGTCAACTTAATGTAGCTGCAACAATAGTTCAGCTAGCATTTACAGCAATGTTAGTCATTTTTCAGCCACCTTTTATATTACTGTATACTACAGACAACATATTTTTCATAAAAAAATAAAACATTTCATTTTTATGGCTTGCTTTTTTCTAAATAAAATGCATAAAACAGCAGTTCAATATTTTATATTCCGCATATTCAATATCCTGGGGGTGTTTGTTATTATGTCATGCATTTGTAAAACATATATATAAAATTTATGTTTGTTTATTGCCCCCATGTATTTTGGTTATTGCATTCAGTAATAGTTATTATATTCAGAATGTGTGGGTGAGGAGCACAAAGCCATCAGCCCTCCAACATTTTTTTCAATGATTGGTTATCTGGCGATGTCCCAAAGTCTCTTTCTAGACACATGTCTCCATTCCCTCCTTCAGGGAATTTAGGTTACAGAGGTGAAGAGGTTTTTTTTGACATATTAATATATAGATTAATAATAAATAATTAACTGAAAATAATTATTAAAAATAATTAACTGAAAGGTTTGTAAATTGACATTGTATTAATGAATATTCTTTTTGTAAAAAAGTTCTGCGTGCCAACCATAACTGCCAGTATTTTTTCATGAATTTTGCAGAACCTTTTTTTACAGTGTATATACTGCATATATCCATGCATGCATATATACATCATTAATAAAAATGACAAAAAGAAAGAAAAAGAAAATAAAAAGGGAAAAAAAGGAAAAAGGTTTTGCATATATAAATACCAATACATACACAGTGTGGCAGAGCGGACTGCGGAGGAGGGGGAGAAGTTAAAGGTGCTGTATGTACGTTTTTGACTCTTCTAAAGCATAAAATATCATAATTTGTTTGCTGATATTTAAGAAACACGCCAAGTGAACTTGTTTATCTGAAAAACAATGCTGAAGTCTAGTTTTCTGCTTTGAAAATGTGTTTTCCGTGCCAGAACAAGGTCTTTATGTTCTTTTAACCTGCCCACTGATAGTTTAGCCAATTATATGTCAGCACCCTGGCTTGCCTTAGTGGAAAACTGCGTATTTCATTCATTCATTCAGAAAACATCTGAAAGCATGCATCTGTGACCGAAATGCAACTCCTGGTGGACAGTAGCAGACTCCAAAATGAGACAGATTCAGTTCCACATGAGGTTATTAATTAGCAAATAATATAAATATTATGAGTGTAAACAATAGGTGAGCAGATTACATTGTTACCGCGTGTCACATTGTTAGCGTTTAACACCGAATAAGCCACATGAGTTGTACATGAGGTGATTATTGTCATAGTTTTCTGTTGTTCACCTGTGAAAAACAGAAGCCGTTTCTAATATATCACTTCGAGGTGTTGCTTAACATGAAAACTCCATTTAATATGGAAAATATTCCTTCTATTGGGTGCCGTTGCTTTTATTTAGAACACGATTAAAATCATTCACTCCTGTCCTCAATCTGGCAACCTGCACTTCCGTTTGTTTGATACAGAATGTGATGGGATCAACTCTAGTCTAATTTTATTGCAGTGGTTATACCCATTTTTCTAAGATGGAGAAGGGTGAGCAACCAGAAATGACCCCCAAGCTACTTAGTTTGATGAAACAACCAACTACGCCACCAAATTGTGACATTAACTCAGAGGACTGGGGCTACTCACAGGAGTGATCACTCATGAAAGTTATTCACTATACACTTTCAGACCACAACACACTCAAGTCACTTGCATCATAAAGTGTCCCACAGTAAACACTGGCACAACAGCGCCAACACCAAAAAAGTTTCTTGACCAGTGGGCCCCCAGCTCTTGCAAGGAATGTAAAAAAAATTATAACAAAAAGCCACCAACTGAGAAGGGGCTTCACTCTCAAATTATGTTTATTAATCAATGTTAATTTCAATATTTACTAATGCATTATAAAAATCTAAATTTGTGCTTGATAACATTGAAAACATGAAATTCTCTTAAGATTTGGTATCAAAAATTTTCAAACTCTCTGAACTGTAATCTGACCCCTATTACTTGAATTCACTCCCTCACAGTCAGATAGAACCTTTTAATCATTTAAAGACAAATTAATTATAGCAGTAAGCAGAGGTGGGACCAAGTCATTGTTTGGCAAGTCACAAGTAAGTCTCAATTCATTGCCCTCAAGTCCCGAGTCAAGTCCCGAGTCAAGACAGGCAAGTCCCGAGTCAAGTCCCAAGTCAAAGGCAACAAGTCTCAAGTCAAGTCCAAAGTCCTGCAGTTTGATTTTCAAGTCTTTTCAAGTCTTTTTAACAGAAAAATAAAATTTAAACAGATTATGTATGGCTGTAAGATCTGTATTTATTAAACAAACCTTTTTTTTAATGAAAGAACATTGCTTAGATATATAAAGATACAAATGTAATTTTCTGAAAAAGTGCTAAACAGTGCTGCGTCTCGTCTACACAGCCTATTGCACAAGAATGAGTTCCACCAAAAAAGAGTCCATTTGCTGCAAAGTAAAATTGAGTGAAATTGGTATTTTATCAATTGAATCTCGTGTGTGCTGAAGAGATGGAGATCGCAAATCTGTCTAGCAGCAATGTAAAATGGTAGCACATATTCTAAATGAAGTAGGCTACTTCATACAAACAATAACATTGTTTTCTTCACATAACAATGAAGAACTTTGCTCTCTACCTTGTGTGATGCTCGTGCACCGATTTCCTCTGTGGACAAAACTGCTTGCGAGCTCTTAAATATACGCTGCTCACGCGCAAATTTTCTCGCTCTCAAATATGCACTGCTCACGCACACATTTTCCTGCGCGCTCTCAGAGATTATATAAAGAATTTGTGTCTTGTGTTTCCTCCTTTTGTGCTTTTTGATATGATTTATATTGAGGCAATATTTATTAACAATAACCAAAATACTAAAATAGACTTACATATTACATTTTTTATCTAATAAACCACAACATTTTGGCTGTATGTTTTATGATGAGATATTTCCAGTTTCAAACACTTAAAGACAGAGAATAGATGTTGGATATAAAGAATGCATTTTGTTTTACAAACATTTTACATTAACATTCACATTAAACATTCAAAAGGTGCACCATACTAATCAAATAAAAAACATTTAAACAAAAATATAACTAACGCAAGCAGAAATGTAACTGTGATAAAAATAAGGAAAAACTTGATTTGGCATTATAGCCTACTGTACTATTCACTCTTTAAATAAATACCACTATCAATCCCATTTTATCATGGTAACTTAAATAAAGTGAACACGTCTCTGCTGTCTTCCACATTATTGATGAGATTGTGGAGGACATTTTCCATGTCATCCTCTTCATTTTGAGGAAAAGCTGTTCCACAGGGCCCCTGTACTATAGTAAAGTACTTTAATTAATCTGTTGGGGTCATATTATAGTTGCTATGGTAACACAAGTGTAATATAAACAAATGACCCAGTGCTGTAGTTTTTTTACAGTATTGGGTATATTATACTTCACCACACTTTACTGTAGTAAAACTACACTCTGTATTTCATTTTATTAGTTCACTATTCTTAATGCTACAGTATGCTGAAGCATTCATTAACAACTTGTAAATAATACTAGGCTTAAACATAGGCAGTATACCTAACTCTCAAAAACACTAGTATTTATTATAGAATTTACCTTAACCTCATAGTTTTTCGTGTATTGTTACTAAATAGTTTAGCAATATATAAACCATATCAACATTCTGGAATAATCAATTTATTAGGAGGATATCTGGAGAGCAAAAGCAGGAAAGGTATGAAGCGCCAGTGTGGACAAAACTCAAGCAAACGCAGAGAGACTGAATACGCGCGTGAGAGACCAGCAAATCAGATTGAAGTACCTGCCCACTGGTGAAAGTAATGTCAGAGCCAATCAGATATTTCTTTATTTTCATAAAGAACGGGGTTCGAATCCCACTTAGGCACTTGTAAACAATAATTTTAGAACATTTTGTCAAAAATCCCTACTGAAAAAACAGCTTAAACCAGCCTAGGCTGGTTGGCTGGTTTTAGAGGGGTTTTGGACATTTCCAGGCTGGTTTCCAGCCATTTCCAGCCTGGTCTTAGCTGGTCAAGCTGGGAGATGACCAGCTAAAACCAGCTATGTCCAGCTAAAACCAGCTTGACCAGCCTGGTTTTTGCTGGTCAGTTTCCAGCCTGACCAGCTAAGACCAGGCTGGAAATGGCTGGAAACCAGCCTTAGATACACAAAGTATCTAAAACTTGTTTTCATGTTTGAATAGCCAATAAATGTGCTAAATAAATTAAAATATAAATACCCACAGTGAAACAGTTATATAAATTTAAATATTAGTTTAAATACATTCATAGTGGTTTTAAATATCTTTTAATATGTTAAGTAGAGAAGTTCACATTCAACAAACTGAATAAAACAAGTCTTCGTTTTTAGTTTATTTAAAAACAATTACAAATGAAGTAATTCAACTCACAATTAAATGATCTCATTGAGTGATGGAATAATAAAGGTAAAACTTTAATTGAATGATCAGTCAAGTGTTTCCAAATGAAATCTGTTAAAATAAGAGTCCTACAAAACAGGAACAAAGACACTCATGAAACAAAATGTGATTGTTAATTGTATTTTTTATTAGATGGTTGGTTTTAAGTACTTTAAAAATAGTAGATAATCCTTAAATATAGAGGGGGAAATACAGAAAAACAAACAAACAGAAATTTAACAATATAGATGCATTACATTACAATCTCGCAATAAAAAATGTAATTAAAAACCATATAGAGGACTAAAATATTGCTAAGAGGCATAACATCAACAATAATAAAAATACCTTTAAGGTTTTAAATACTAAATAAAATTAATAGTATTAATCAAAAATATGAAAAATGTAACACTTTACAATAAGGTTGTATTAATTAATTAAGTTTATGCATGTACTAATGTGAACAAACAATGCAGTGCAGTTCATTACAGTATTCATTATTTTATGCTTTAATTAATGGAAATAAAATGATTGGTTAATTTTTGTTAACTCACAGTGCATTAACATTAATGTTAACAAGCATACCTTTAAATTGTAATAATGCAATAGTAAATGTTAAACTATAATTAATAAAGGTTTAGAAGTATAGTTCATTATTAGTTCATGTTAGTACATAGATTAACTAAAGAAACCTTATTGCAAAATGTCACCAGAAAATAACAAAATACTTTTTTTTTTTTTACAGTTTTAAGAGCTTTAAAAATAAATTAAATATCTAGTTATTATGGCATGTAATTAATGTTACTACTAATTAAATAGTTAGAAAATACTGTCAGAGGATGGGCAAAACACAAAGATAAAACATAATATGCGCATTGACACAAACGACCAAGTGCAAAAACATAAATTACAGCCATGTTCATTCATAATCATATGATATAAATCACGAGAGGGTAAATTTGGTTTAAAAAAAACTGAAGTTCATTGACTTTTGCACAACAGTAACACATTGCGAGTAGTAAAGTCTCTTACCTTTGACAGATGTTGTAAATCCGCTGAATAAAACAAAAGGAGCAGATCGCGGATGTGTTTATTTCTCTCTCTGAGTCAGAATGAAAATGGCATCTTCAAATTTCCCGCTGGTGCAAAAACACGGAAGTGCGCCACAAAGCGCTAGTGGTCGAAAGTATGCGTGCATGCTCTCTGTCACACACGCGCACACACACGCAGAGATAGAGCGTTCTGTGTCAACATACTTTTTATCTTTGGGCTTTTTATAGAAAGTAGCAAGTCTTTACAAGTCAATAGGTGCAAGTCCAAGTGAAAGTCCGAGTCATTTATGTTCAAGTCCAAGTCGAGTTGCAAGTCTTTTTATATTTTGTCAAGTCGAGTCTGAAGTCATCAAATTCATGACTCGAGTCTGACTCGAGTCCAAGTCACATGACTCGAGTCCACACCTCTGGCAGTAAGTGATCTTTATATAGACAAAATATTTGCTTCATTCACTCAGCTTAGAGAAAAGTTTGGGTTACCTACCCTTCAGTGTATCAGGTGTTGTTTTATTAGCACTAATCTCCAATACTGTACAAGGAAGACCATAGGGTTTAAATTTTTTTGTTTGTGTGCGCAAGAAATGGGCAGGGCTTAAGTTCCATATCGACGTCATGCCGGCACAGCTTAAGACTCGTTTTGAAAATGATTCAATTGAAGCACTATTAGTGCTTTTTTTTTTACTTCTCTTAGAGCTCTGTTACACACTACATGGAAGGTTTTTTTTTTTTTTTTTTCAAAAACCCATAATAGGGGCTCTTTAAGCTTACTATTTTTAACGACTACCATGGATGAAACGGAGGGAGTACGCAATGTTTAATGTCTATACCTGGTAATAAGATGCACTTTGGTCGATTGGATCACAGGTAAAACAAGAGACGCATAATGTTCAAATCTGGCATTTAAATGGGATTAAAGTATTTTGTCAACTTCTGACCATGTTGTACTGTACTTCTCTGATCTTTCAATCTAATACTGTGGGGAAGAAACTATCCATCATGTAATTTTTATCAACGATTGTACAGTTAGTACTAAAGCAATTAAATACCTATGAACATATTATGCAACAAGGTTTAGTTTCCAACTAGTTCATATTTCAGATTTTATACTGTTTTATAGTTTTAACATCTATATAATATACACTATTATTATATACACATTTAAATGTGTTAGATTGTTAGTTAAATATTTTAGAACATCAAAAGTATTTGTATTGAGTGATTTAGGAATACAAATATTATAAGGATCAGGAATTTATCATGTGAAAAAAAATGATTCAAACATGTATTAACAGCATTAATTTGTTTATCTGTTAAATAAAATATACACAAAACTCTGAAAAAAAATATAGTTTTTTAAATAGTGAAATCATATGAGCTGCAAGAGTGTTGCTGTTTGAAAAAAAAATGAAGCAGCTTTAGCATAATGCAAATAATTATTTGTAGTCAAACACATTCAGTTTTTGATTTTATCAAAAGAAAAAAAGTAATATGTTTTAGACAAAGTGATAAATTTAGGACAGTTATAAATATAGTATATAGGCAGAAGATTTTAGAATATATGAATGAGTTTGGCAGCTGTTAACAGCCGTAAAGTTTTATTTTGTGTCCAGGTAATGATAGACAGGACAACTTTTTGAGCAGTGCAGTTGTACAATATTGTAGTGATGTTGCTTGGCTACTTTGCTGCTAAAAATTGGTAACAAAATAAAAATTAAATAGAATAAAAAATTTTGATTATTTTGTAAAGATGTATACATGATGTGAGGTGCAGTTACCCCTGTGAAAGTAAAACAGGTAGTAGTAATTAATGCTGTTTACTTTAGTACTTATTTCAGAATGTACTTCTTTACTTTTATTTGAGTACAAAAGTGTAGTCAGTACTTCAACTTTTACCATTAATTTTAAACACCAGTATCTGTACTGGTACCTGAGTAAAGGATGCGTGTACTTTTGCCATCTCTGGTTGTTATAGTATGCCATATTTTTGTTAAATATCTCAAGTGTTTGAAGTGTTTAAAAATCTCTCATTGTCTTTATTTTTATTTATTTTATTTTTTTTTAACATGTGTTGGTTTCTGTGTGCATTCTTCAGTTGGATCAGTAATAGTCCTCATATTCAGAATGTGTGGGTGAGGAGCACAAAGTCAGCAGTTCTCCAACATTCGCCCTCAAAGTATTCATGAGGCCTGCCACACCATGATTATAAAGGAGACGATTCTCTGCAACATTTGCGACCGCCTTCATCACTTCTTCCATCACCTTTATCACAGGCTCCCAGAGAATGAAGCCTCGGGTTTGCCTCTCCAGAACAGTGACTCTTCCACTGACAATGCTAAGAAGATTCACAGCTTTTCTCACCATCTCCTGAATATCAGCGGTGTAATCCAGATGCTGCTTCACCTCTTCAATCTCACTCTGAATTTTATCCAGCAATTCATCAGTTTCTTTAATCTCACTCTCTATATTAGAGATCTCGGACTGGTAATCAGACACTTTTCTCCTGTACTTCCCCACTCTGGCCTCATTTTCTTCAAGATCATCTTCAGCATCCCTGATAGCCCTTGAAGCATCCTCAATTGTACTTATTCCATCACATATCATCATTGGACCTAAAGGGAAGCAAGCAATCACATCAGCACAAAGGAGATAAGTTGATAGATGCTAGTATTCAGAAGAAAAGGGTTTCTTACCTAAAACCCATCCAGCAACTGGAATCAAGGTAACACCTACCCCTGCAGCTGTTACCCATCCACCTGTAACCTTCCTGTCCTCCTCTCTTTCTATTTCTTTTTTAGCTGAAGCCACGTTTTTTTTGGCCTGCTCCAAAGCTTCTCTAGAGTTCTCTAATGATTCCTTAGCAAAATACTTCTCGATATGCAAATCATCCTTAGTCAGGCATTTCTGCTGCCTCTGCTGCTCAGCATTTCCTTGTTCTTTAATAAGTTGCTCCATACGTTCATCCAGATTTTGCAGTTTTACTTTAATAGTTTTCTCTGATCTTGCAATGTGCTGCTCAGCATACTCAATATGTCTTCTGATTTGTCTATAATTGGAGCACATGCCAGAGTTTTGATTTACTTCTGCTTCCAAAAGATGCTTGCAGACATAACAGATAGAGCTAATTCCATCATTCAGCGGCCCAACAACTGTCTCTATGGACTGCAGATCCCCAACACTGTCAGGAAAAAAAATATATATAATAACAGCAATACTTTGTGAATAGAGACTAGATTTACAGAAACTTACCTAGAGGAGCAGGACAGTCTCAGAGCATTCATACTGAAAGACAAAAACAAAGGAAACTATTGATATTGTGATAAACAATTTAATGTGCAATTGATAATCATTTTAGTTGTAGACATATTTATATTGTATTTCAATTCATAATAACCAGTCACAAAAAACAAGACCTTAAATCAGCACATAATTATAATAACCATAACTAATAGCAATGCAAGAGGCAGAGATACAGATCACTTGTAGACAACCAAATCGTGCTGCCAGCATGAAAGCAGGCATCTCAGATTTTTAGGGATCTGTGAATCTTCTAGATGGCTCATAGCAAGTGGACACTTGAGTCCCACATTCTCTCATTCTCTCTGAATCAGAAATCAACAGCTGAAATTTTGTTTTTTTGTTTTGGTGATTGGAATTTCATTTTAGAAAAAGATATTAACAAACGAGCCGCTTTTAGATCTTTGTTTTAAAATTCAAAAACGAAAATTGAACGACGATTTAATTTTAATATTTTTTGAATAAATAATTAATATAGCATAATAATTATATCTGCAGAAAACAAAAACGAATAAAGGCTTGTTTTTTTCTATTCCAAAACCATAGGCCTCATAAAGCTGGTTTTACACACACACACACACACACACACACACACACACACACACACACACACACACACACACACACACACACACACGTCCTTTTCAAAAAATTTGCATATTGTGAAAGTTCATTATTTTCTGTAATGTACTGATAAACATTAGACTTTCATATATTTTAGATTCATTACACACAACCCAAGTTGTTCAAAGCTTTTTATTGTTTTAATATTCATGATTTTGGCATTAGCTCATTAAAATGCAAAATTCCTATATCAAAAAATTTGCATGTCATGAAAAGATTCTCTAAATGAGCTATTAACCTAATCATCATAACCAATTAATTAACTCTAAACACCTGTAAAACATTTCTGAGGCTTTTGAAAACTCCCAGCCTGGTTCATTACTCAAAACCGCAATCCTGGGTAAGACTGCCGAACTGACTGCTGTCCAGAAGGCCATCATTGACACCGTCCAGCAAGAGGGTACGATACAGAAAGGAATTTCTGTTCCCAGAGTGCTGTATCAAGACACCTCAGTGGGAAGTCTGAGGGAAGGAAAAAGTGTGGCAGAAAACGCCGCACAAAGAGAAGAGATGACCGGACCCTGAGGAAGATTGTAGTGAAGGACCGACTCCAGACCTTGGGGGACCTGCGGAAGCAGTGGACTGAGGCCCCATTTACACTAATGCGTTTTCGTTTTAAAATGCATAAGCTTTGCTACGGTTACGCCATCTGTCCACACTACGCCAGAGTTGTTGAGCGCCGAAAACGGAGCTTCTCGAAAACGCTGGAGAGGCCATTTTCATTCTAAAACGCTGCTGCTCCGTCTCAGTGTGGATGAAAAAAAACAAAGACATCTGAAAACTGCTAAGATTCGCTACCTGATTGGGGCTTTTGTGTCATTGCGTATCCTTCCCTTATTCGTCAAGCCCCTATCACATGACTATAACACATGGCTTTAACGCTACCGGAAGACAGCACTGTAAACAACAACCTGGACACAGAAATGGGAGCATTGTTTGCACTACTGTCTGTTTTAGGCGCCATTGTGCAGTTATTCATTTGTTACGTTTAGTAACAACTCGACCTCGTCGTCTGTCCACAAAAATACCTCTCTTGCTTTCTTTGCCATCGCGTTTATTGTTCAACCGGCATTTGTTGACTAACAATAACCAAATGTCGAGCAAGACACATGCTTTGTTTATACTAGAACGCACATGCCTAGAGTGCACGAATGGTCATGTGATATACGTTTTTGGTGGAGTAGTGTGGACGGAGATATGTTCAGAAATGCTAGGTGAAACGCTAGTGTTGGCACGGATCGTTTTTGATCTAAAATGCCATTTTAAAACTAAAACGCACTAGTGTAAACGGGGCCTGAGTCTGGAGTAGAAACATCCAGAGCCACCGTGTACAGCCATGTGCAGGAAATGGGCTACAGGTGCCACATTCCCCAGGTCAAGCCACTTTTGAACCTGAAAAAGCGGCAGAAGCGCGTGACCTGGGCAACAGAGGAGTACTTTAAAAAAAAAGTAAATTTTGCATGTCATTCGGAAATCAAGGTGCCAGAGTCTGGAGGAAGACTGGGGAGAGAGAAATGCCAAAATGTCTGAAGTCCAGTGTTAAGTACCCACAGTCAGTGATGATCTGGGGTGCCATGTCAGCTGCTAGTGTTGGTCCACTGTTTTTTATCAAGGGCAGGGTCAATGCAGCTAGCTATCAAGAGATTTTAGAGCACTTCATGCTTCCATGTGCTGAAAAGCTTTATGGAGATGAAGATTTAATTTTTCAGCAGGACCTTGCACCTGCGCACAGTGCCAAAACCACTGGTAAATGTTTACTGACCATGGTATACTGTGCTCAATTGGCCTGCCAACTCTCCTGACCTGAATCCCATAGAGAATATGAGGGATATTGTGAAGAGAAAGTTGAGAGACGCAAGACCCAACACTCTGGATGAGCTTAAGGCTGCTATCGAAGCATCCTGGGCCTCCATAACACCTCAGCAGTGCCACAGGCTGATTGCCTCCATGCCACACTGCATTGAAGCAGTTATTTCTGCAAAAGGATTCATACACACACACACTTGAAGTCAGAAATTATTAGCCCCCTTTGTTTTGTTTTGCTTTTTAAATATTTCCCAAATGATGTTTAACAGAGCAAAGAAATTTTCACAGTATGTCTGATAATATTTTTTCTTCTGGAGGAAGTCTTATTTGTTTTATTTAGGTCATTAAAATGGCTCATTTGTTTGTTTTTCAATATCTGTTTTTTAAATGAAAATCGAATGACCAAAACATACACTGACTAACTGCAAGGTTCCTCTTTCTATGGGAACAGCGGTGGCTAGTAACCAATTATGCACAAAAATGGTTTAGACATTGTCCTTCTTAAAGGGAATGGGAGATTTGTTTGGTTTTAATCCACGTCATAATCAAAACATGGTGACGCAGTGGCGCAGTAGGTAGTCTTGCCTCACAGCAAGAAGGTTGTTGTTTAAACCTCGGCTAGGTCAGTTGGCGTTTCTGTGTGGAGTTTTGCATGTTCTCCCTGCGTTTGTGTAAGTTTCCTCCGGGTGCTCCGGTTTCTCCCACAGTCCAGAGACATGTGGTACAGGTGAATTGGTTAAGCTAAGTTGTTCATAGTGTATGTGTGCGAATAAGTGTGTATGGGTTCCCAGTGATGGGTTGCGGCTGGAATGGCATCCGCTGCGTAAAACATATGCTGGATAAGTTGTTGGTTCCACTGTGGTGACCCCAGATAAATAAAGGGACTAAGCCCTTGTGAGTGAATGAATGAATGAATGAATGAACTGCAAGTTTTTTCCTCCAGAATTAATTACAAATGAAAAGAAATAGAGTGGGAGAGATTAGCTGACACGGTTAACACAGTAGGGTCTGAACATCGCACTGTGAGTGAATTAAAAAAAAAGGTCTGATGTAAAGATGCAGGTTAAGAGGATAACAGCGGCGCACCAAAGTGTGGAACGAAGAGGTGGGGGAACACGGGATGCTGAACAAACACCCTTTGAGGAGAGAGTTGCCTCAACTGTGGGTGACACTTTACTGTCTGTAGTAGTAGTATCTGTGTCGAGACACAGATGTAGTAGATGAACACTTAAGGCCAACACTGGCATTGCCATAGGATTAGGAATGCACAATATATCGGCGCCCATATCGTTATCGGCCGATAAATGCTATTTTTAAGATTATCGTTATCGATCCGATGTCATAATTAGGCTGATATATTTAAGCCGATAAATTACTTAATTGTACAGACCTGCCTGCCTCTCGCATGCGTGGGCAGAACTTGTTCAGACTTGTCCAGTGCACTATAATGGATCTCTCCTCACACTGATTATTCCCTCAAAGTCCGTCCTTTCTTTACGTGGCTTGCTGTGCATTAATAACTCAGTAAGTAACCACGTTTCTTGTTATTGTAGATATTTTTGATTGAGTGTCATTGTGTATTTTGCTTTAAATCGCCTTAGGAAAAATATTACATGTGGAAACCTTTCCTGCTCTGTCTCTTTGTTGTGTTAGAGATTGCAGGGGAGATTCACTTATTACTGCAAGGCCGAATAATGTTAGTTTCGGGGTGAACTCTTTTAGTTGCAGCTGGTGAATGAAAGAGGACACATGTAACTTGGTCCAAAATATTTATTACTTTCCGTGTGGTACAACAAGTCACCAAAAAGGAACATCACAGAAAATGGTCTCATTGCGAAAAAAGCGCTCCTCTTTTCTCTCTCCCTCTCCCTCCGCTTAACTCACACCCCAAACTGCAGCCTAGTCCCGTTGAAGGAGCCGCACATTTTACAACACGTGTAAACATAACGATTGTTTGTAATCTTATTATTTGTTATTATAAACGCGTTGCTTGTCATGTGTTGTTGATGTAAGACAGTATTCAGTTTGATCGGACTATTCATATTGACTATAACAAGCTGGCGTAAGAGCTGTCACCCCACACACACACACACACACACACACACACACACACACACACACACACACAGACACACACACACAGTGTAGCACGGGGGAGAGGTGACTCCAGTCAAAGGGGCTCTTAACTAGCCGCTCATTCTGTCTTTATATTCTGCTCTGTGTTTGTCCTACAGTCAGCTCAATGCAGGTTTTGTATCAAAATCTGACTCTGATGGCAACTCTGTCTCTACAGTTGAGTAAAACTCTCAGCGGTTTATCATAAACTTTTCATCGATCATTTTCCCGCGATTGATGGCACCTACAGCACCTACATGTGACATGTCAAAACGCCAAATAGGATAAATCTGTGCCGCATTTTCTAAACGTCCTAAAACGTATTATCTGTATTTAGCTATTTGCTTGTACGGTGGCTCTAAACTGTCAAAACACCTCTAAAAAGACTTTTTTAGACATGACATATTTGTACATGTGTACATCACTGTAACACGTTTTGTTCATGACCATTTGAGCTGGTTTCAGTCCTTAGCTCTTTAATTTTTTATCCTATTTAAATATATTTAACTTGCTTGTTAATTAAACATTTTGCAATTTAAACTTATTTTTATGCAACAATCAATGTGCATGTTCATTTGCTATAAAGAAAAGGAAATAATTTTTTTGCATGCAGATTTGTGTGAATATAAGGTCTATAATCACCTTGCAATTTTGAAATTATAGCTTTTTTGCTTTGAGTATAGACTATTCAGTTCATAAGAATAGTTCAATCTTTTATGAAGTTAGCTGTATAAAAATATAACAATTTAAAATATTTATAATTATTGGCCTATACATATCGGCTATTGGCCTCCAAGTCTTAGGAATTATCGGCTATAGGTATCAGCTAAAAAATCCATATCGCTGCATCCCTACATAGGATAAGGGTTGTATACATTTGCAAAGGCTTTTATATGTTCTAAATCGCATAACTGGTAAAAAAAAAAAAAAAAAAAAACCTGTCTATTAACCCATTTTATCATTTATAAATTAATAGCAATGTTTTTCACATGTGTTGGTGCGATACTTTGTAGTTTGCAATTTAACATAATTCAAGCCAGTAGAGTTCTTCCAGAACCACAGGTTGAAGGGGGAGAGGATAGGATATCTGTACAATCTGTGAGTTGAGATTTTGATCATCTATACAGGGCCCATCCTTCGTACCCATAAAGAACAAGCTAGACAGAGCTAATGAGAATGATGGAATGATGAAGGGTGCACATAACTGGTTAGCATGTCCACATGGTGATTAAAATAAAAATTGCAGACTATGCAAGACTAGAGAAGTGTTTTTGTGGTAATTTAGTAACTGCAAACTTTGCCCATGCTGCATAATCACTATTACACCCCATATATGTATATATGGCCCTTTTGGAACTGAGTTTGACACCTGTGCTTTAATGTAATAAAATCGCTGCTTAGGCTACACGGTAGACTTTTAATAAGAGTATAATCTTAATCATATTAAAATCGGAGTATTGGTGTCTTATGTGAATGTACTCAGAAAGTCTCTGGTGAAGTCGCAAGCTGTCAAAGACAGGGCATTACTCTGCCTTTCAGCATGAGCCCTCCAAGTTTAGTGTGTTTCCTCATTAAACGCAACGAAAGCGTATGCTTCGCGTTGTTGTGTCAGAATCCTTGTGAAATACAGTAATACTTTAGGACGCTTAGTTTAAGCAAATTTGATGAACACGATCATGCGTGTTGAATCTGAAGGGAGTCGCTCCAGCGCATTGTGTGTGTGTATGTGTGTGTGTGTCTGTGTCAGGCCCGTTGAGGGGTGTCAGGGGTGGAGTGAGCGATGTAACTGAATAGGGACGTGTGCGTGCGAGACGTATACCTAAAGGACGGTGGGAGTGAGTTGCGCGCGACATACCTGAAAAGGTAGGAGTGATGCGGTGGAGAGGGGTGTGCAATGTATTTAACGACCGGTTTGCGAGAGATTATCAATTAATTTGCGGGCATTCGGGAGTCTCTGTGCTTTCTTACTTCTAGTCTTAGCAACTGGATGAATGTAAAGAAGGATTAAGCAAAATTGTTTCTACTTTATAATTAATGTTCTCAACTCACAGCAATAAAACTTTACAATGAGTGCAACTGTTTGTATTCAAGTTTATTATTATAATTTTTCATTTTCCATATCTGTAATGCCTGTATTTTGGCATTTCTTTTGCAGTCCACTTAGAATTCAACATGGAAATCAATGTTTTTTTATTGGCATTGAAATTGGCATTTTTATTGGTTTTGAAATGTAAATGTCATTACCATGCCTGTGTTTTTATTTCTGTAATAAATATGGCTGTCAAGCCAGGATTTTCATGGTTTATTGTGGGTTTGTTGTTTACATGAAAAAATCTGTGTTACAAGTTAAACAAAAATTCTAATAACAATTATATTTTGAATTTAAATAGTTGTTGTCTTGCGTTTACATTCATTTTACATTTGAATAGCCAAAATTACAAGTTTCAGTATTTTAAATGTGATTAATCACGATTAATTTTTTTAAAAAGGTGCGATTAATTAGTTAATTTTTTTAATCGATTGACAGCACACACACACACACACACACATATATATATATATATATATATATATATGTATGTGTGTGTGTGTGTGTGTGTATATATAGCAGTGCGATATAGCTGTAATTTTATTGGCACTGGTGGGAGGCGTACACCATCTTAGATAGATGGTGATAAGATATTGTACACCATCTTCACCCTTGTGTATTATCAGCTTTGGTATTACCCACTCACAGAGTGACAAAGAGGAACCCAGTACAGTTTGACAAATTGTGCAGATAATGGACAACATACTTTACTTGTGAGGCTTTTTGACAGAAAACTTTGTTATTTAGATTGTAACTATGCATTTTAGTTTTAAGAATAGTGATTATTAATAATTATTAAAAAATTCAGCGCGTCGGAGGTCATCATACTTCATTGAGCAAAGCTAGTAAATTAACAGTTGACGTTCCGCCACAAGATGGCGACAGAGACTACATCAGTCCTAGAGGGAGAAAAACTCAGCATTCTCTCAGAATACATTTTTAATTACAGCTGAACATATCATTATAGAACAGGCAAGTGACATGCTTAGTCGGTCTCTCTGTTTTGTTTTGTTTTTGTAGGGCTGCATTTATAGTATTCTGGTAGTGTTTGGATTGATTTTTCAGTTCGGGTCGCAGCTCTGTTGATAACCCTAATTAAAAACACCTGATCGAACTGCTTGTTGGATACCTACAGATATAGATGTGTTGACGCAGAGCTGGATAGACAAAAGAAATAAATTATAAAGAGTAGATTAGCAGTACTTAATTCAATTGTAAGTTTTATTTTGGGTATTTGTTCTCTGGCCTCTGTCTGTAATGGTTTAGGTAACCCTCACAGCTCTGTCTCTTGGTGTAAGATAAACACATTTTGCCTCTGTGGAATCTGGAATTCTTGACAGTTGGTTGTAGACCAATCCCTCTTTCGCAATAAAGTAGGACTCACTATCTTACAGAGATTACAATTACTCTGGCCTGTGCACATTTAAACATTGCTCTTTTTTTAATGGCTCAGACCTACTAAGAGCTGAACTGAATACAGCCTCTGCAGTGTGACTAAAAACCTGACTGAGATGATCTCTTCTCTTCTTTCTGTGTGGAGTGTGTGTGTGCATGTTTACTCTGGTTATCTTTTATAAAAAGAAAAAACAATAAATTAAGTTGTTTTGATGTTATACATTATTACACCTTTTTTTTTTTCATTACACATAATATTTAATAGTTTAGAGAGGAACATATTGCCCAGTAAGGACATTTTCCCTTCCCAGACTGAACAAAACTCAGCGTTCACAGGCAAACCTGCAAACAGTCGACTGCCAAATACACACTGTCCACTCAAACTTCATCTCGGTGAGTTTGTTGGCTTACTACAAAGGTCCCTTGCATCTGTCCACACTCACAGACTCATCCCTATACCTCTAAATCAACTTTTGGATGTTGTTTAAATATTGTATGCAAGTAAACATGAACCAAAACATACCTTAAAGCCATATTCTTTATTTTGCAGTATTTGTCCTCTCATTTGGGAGTGAGGACGAAGTCTTTGTGGGATGAAGGCTTGCTTGTCTAGCAACACGATTCTCCCTGGTTCTCAAAAGAGAGCAGACCGATCGCCCTTCCGGTTGTCACGTGTTTTAATATCAGTTCAGCGGTATATAAAAAAAGAAACACAAACAGATTTGACATTGATGTTTTTACATTCTGAATCTCTCAGCCAAATCCACAAATTACAATTTATTAAAGTCTTTCTACAGGTAACTTTCAATAACAGTCAAAAGATGCGGTCATTTAACATGAAACTTTTCATGAAAATTACTCACCAATTCAACTTTTAGAATATGAAATTATAATTTGAATGAATTTTAATCAATATTTCAGCCAGTTTTATTGACTTGGCTCCTTAATCCTAATTCGTTTGTAGGGAAATGCCCCTATAACGATGCTAAAATGAGGGCGGATTATTTTTTTTTTACTTGTAATTTAATTTAGTCATTTAGTAAATGATTAAATCCAGCAAGCGAATATCAGTAACAATCGCGAATTTACAGTCATTGCTACAACTAATTAAAAAGTGGTCTTCTCCTATGTAACACCCACGCAGAGAGGCAGCTAGTCGGACGGTCCATGTTGGGAATGCGTCAATACAGGAAGTCAGTTTGCGTTCACTTGTTTGAAGTATTATTGAAGAAACTTTCCTGAAGCATCTGCGGTCGTATCATCCATTTCATCAGATCCCATTGGGGCTTGAAGCATTTAACTGGGTTTCGGCAGGGTAAGACCAGTCTTTTGGACGTTTTTACAGATTCAAATAATTTGTAACCGTTAACGTTATAGTTTTTAGGATTTAAATATTCTGAAATTAATTAAAAAATACTTAAATAGGCTAGACAACTACCAGCATCACTCTTAGAAAGTAATAAACTCAAAGCAAGCAACTCGTAAAGCGAGCGGTTTAACACATTGCAAGAGTGATGGCTAGCAGGTCTTAAAGCTCGAACAAAACCTGTCTTCGTATTCGGGTGTGGATAAAACTGAGAGCTTTTGCCTACTAACTATACCTGGTGAAAATAGCGGAAAGCAAACGCGAGACGCCTGACGGCTATCAGCCTTTAGCTGTGTTCAAGAAGCACATTTTATTAGCTGAGCTCTGCTTTATTCTAATAATATTATTTGAGAATTGGCCTGACTACAGAGAGATACATTGCAAACTGTTGTGAATTATGTAAAGTGTTAACGCCTGCTAGTATGTTAAATAATAAAAGCGAAGAGGCCCTTTCCAGCCCACCTAAAATTTAACACACTTAGAAAAAAAAATATTTCGCATTAGAAACCAATGTTTTAATTATTTAATAAACGCCTTTTGTCCAAATTTATTCCTTAGCAATGCTAATGCACAATACAAATCAAAAGTTGATATACCTAATATACCCATGCAATTGTTTTGGTCACATGTAGGCTAATATTAAAAACCCAACTGAAAAATCCAGTTTAAACAAGCCTAGGCTGGTTGGCTGGATTAAGCTGGTCGACCAGGCTGGTTTTAGAGGGGTTTTGGCCACTTCCAGGCTGGTTTCCAGCCATTTCCAGCTTGGTCTTAGCTGGTCGGACTGGGAGATGACCATCTAAAACCAGCTTGACCAGCCAAGCAAAGCTGGGAGTCCAGCCAAAACCAGCTATATCCAGCTTAAACCAGGCTGGTCAAGCTGGTTTTAGCTAGATTTGGCTGGTCATTTTCCAGCCTGACCAGCTAAGACCAGGCTGGAAATGGCTGGAAACCAGCCTGGAAATGGCTAAAACCAGGCTGGTCAACCAGCCAACCACCCTAGGCTGGTTTAAGCTGGATTTTTCAGCAGGGAAGTAATGCTTTATTGTTTATTAACCAACTAATTTAACTACACTTCGGCAATTACCTTTTCACTTGCTAACCTACTTTTATTTTTACCTGTAGGTGCACTTTTAGGTACATTAAAATTAATAATTTTCTACCTGTTATACATTATTTTACATAAAAATTTATCCAATTACTATTCTAATTATCCTACCTTGCCTAGTTTACATAATAGTCTAGTCTTTAAATTGCACTTTTAGCTGAATTCAGGTGTCTTACAAAATAAGTAAAAAAGATTATGCACTGTCACAATGGCAAAGAGAAAATAAAACAATTATTAAAACTATCATGCTTAAAAGTTTGTTAAAATATTTCTGTTAAATAACAATTTGAAACGTTTTTTGAAAATTCACTGGAGGGATAGTAATTTCGACATGAACCGTATAAATTAAATCCAGATGAGTAAACAACAAAGGATGCATAAACACTAACATGAATTTATGAATCCGTCACAACAGACTACATGAGATGAAACAACCCCTGAAACAAATCATCTGTCAAGGGGCAGTTCTAGAATTTCATCCCTACTAAGCCTTTGCCACTGTGTCTGTATAAATTTATACATTTAAAATGATAATTTTGCACACAACAACAAACCATATTTATTTTTTAAATCTTGTTTTCTATTAACAATTCATTTATTCAGAATAAATGTTAAGTGAGATTCCTGTTTATTTTTTTCCCCCAATTTCTGTTTAATGGAGAGAAGATTTTTTTTAAATTTTTCCCATTTCTAATCATAATAGTTTTAATAACTCATCTCTAATAACTGATTTATTTGATCTTTGCCATGATTACAGTCAATAATATTTGACAAGACATTTTTCAAGACACTTTACAGCTTAAACTTACATTTAAAGGCTTAACTAGGTTAATTAGGTTAACTAGGCAGGTTAGGGTAATTAGGCAAGCTATTGTATAACAAAGGTTTGTTCTGTAGACTATCGAAAAAATATATAGCTTAAAGGGGTAAAAATTTTGTCCCTAAAATGGTTTTTTAAATAATTAAAAACTGCTTTTATTCTAGCCGAAACAAAACAAATAACACTTTCTTACATTATCAGACATACTGTGAAAATTTCCTTGCTCTGTTAAACATCTTTTGGGAAATATTTAAAAAGGGGGGCTTATAATTCTGACTTTAACTATATATATATATAAGGGCTGTGCAATTAATCGAAAATCCAGTTTCGATTTTGGCTTCTAACGATTATGAAAAACCATTAATCGAGATAAACGATTATTGCATCATATACCGTCCCCTTTCCAGTTGTACACTTTTGTCGCTCTGCAAAGCTCATTCCATGTAAAAATGACTAAAAGCATGTACTGTAATGTAACGTTTGCAGCACGGGGTGCACATCATTCATTGATGTACGTTCGAATCATTCTTATTTTTAATAGCGCAAAAGACCACGTGCTGTTCTGTGTGTGCGCTAGCCACTCTATAAGCCTGGGAGAGGCTGGGAGACGAGCAGAGCACACACATCTAACGCCATCTTAATGTGAGCACTTTAAGGGTCAAATACATGCACATTTGTGTCAGAGCACGGTGTTTAGTGATTATTTATATTAACCCTCATTTGTGTAATAAACAAACAAGTTGAGAATCAAAAGACATGTGAAAGAGAAACCATATCAGAGCCGCACTATTCTTAAAGTGACAGCTCGCGATATTTTTTTCTTACAGTGAAGATACTTAAAGCAACGTTTAAACATAACAGAATTAATAACTCATTTCTAATTAATTTCTTTTATCTTTGGTATGATGACAGTAAATTATATTTTACAAGATATTTTTCAAGGTACTAGTATTCGGCTTAAAGTGACATTCAAAGGCTTAATAAGGCAAGTCATTGTATAAAAGTAGTTTCTTTTGCAGACCAACAAAAATATATATTGCTTAAATCCCTAATAATATTGAGCTATTAAAATAGGTTTCAAAATATTTAAATATTATATGAAATACTGTGAAAAATTCCTCTGTTAAACATCATTTGGGAAATATTTCTATATAAAAAAAAATTCACAGAAGGGTGAATTATTTTCACTTCAACTGATAATCGTTTTGAATAATCGTGATTACAATTATGACCAAAATATTCATGATTATGATTTTCCCCATAATAGAGCAGCCCTAATATATGATGGTTATCACCACCTATTGGCCTAATCATGTAATTGCTATTTGGAGCGTCAAGTGATTTGCTATTTATATGGCGGACTTTGTAAGTGGAAAACCTGAACGCTTCACTAAAGAGAAAACAGTTAAACGGAGCATCTGCAGAACGAGGATAAAAAACAAGCCTTCTCCGTTAGGCCTGTTTACTCTCTCTTTCTTTCTTTCTTTCTTTCTTTCTTTCTTTCTTTCTTTCTTTCTTTCTTTCGTGGAGTCAGGAAACAGTGTTGTACGCACTCCGCTGAAGACATTCATTAGCCTACATATTTAATTTTGTTTGTTAACCGCAAAGATTCATTTTAAAACTACCTCTAAATTAAAATCTAATTTCCGGTTACGCAGTGGCTCAGTAGGTAGGGCTGTCGCCTCACAGCAAGAAGGTTGCTGGTTCGAGCCTCGGCTGGGTCAGTTGGCATTTCTGTGTGGAGTTTGCATGTTCTCTCTGCATTTGCTTGGGTTTCCTACCGGTGCTCCGGTTTCCCCCACAAGTCCAAAGACATGCGGTACAAGTGAATTGGGTAGGCTAAATTGTCCATTGTGTGTGTGTGTGTGTGTGTGTGTGTGTGTGTGTGTGAATGAGTTTGTATTGGTTTTCCAGTGATAGGTTGTAGCTGGAAGGGCATCCGCTGCATAAAACATATGCTGGATAAGTTGGTAGATAATTCCGCTGTGGGGACCCCAGATTAATAAAGGGACTAAGCCGAAAAGAAAAGGAATGAATAAATGAACGAAAATGTAATTTCCAGCAAACAAATAAATGAGCAATAATACGACAATACTATGCCTCATATGATTTAAAAACCCGACAGGTGGACAAATCTGAACTAGTTTTTAATAAAATAAATATACATATAATAAATAATACTGCTAATAATAATAACAATATACAAAAGCAAGTCGTCATGAGTAAACTGAAAAAGCTCCCCGAGATGGAGAAGATATGGAGGCAGTCATTTTTATATTTATGTAGACAGTAATCATTTTTGTCATTTTTAATCCTTATCTCTTATTTTTTTAATCATTAAAGATATTTGCATATTACTGTACATCCTGTGTGTATTAAGCAATGTTTAAGCGTTTAAGGTGCATGACTAACCTGCTTTGCGCTAGACCTGATTTCAGCTGCTTTATTGCAGTCTATTTTAGTTCCTCCATATAGCAAAACGCCAACA